CTACTCGTACGTAGTAGTACCCTACCCGTCGCGTCGTAAGTTAAGTTGTAGTACGTTTTAGGTTTCGTACAATTAGTTTAGTTTTAGTTTGTTGATGAGTATTTGTTTACGTAGAGAGAGAGAGAGAGAGAGAGGTTTGAGATAAAGGAAAGACAGCCAAAAAATAGTTATATGGCTTCCAGGTGCTTAATCATATACTGAATTGGTGCAATTTTTCTTATGCAGTTAATCTTGAATAGCAGAATCATGAACAAAAATTGCAGTACCAGGATAAATGTCCATATGGAAAAAGTTTAAAGCCTATATCAACAAAAACTAAATTTCAAAAATATTAGGAATAAAGGAAGCCAAAGCAACATACTGAGAAAATACAGGACAAAGACACATTTCTAATGTATTTTAGCAAACTCTAATTAAGATTTCTAACATATTTCAGATGGATCTCTGTTTTATGCAGGCAAGCATCTGCAAACCAAATTTCTAAAGAAACAATGCCTTAAATCACAGATTCCTTCAAGACCAAAAGCCCAATTTCTCCTCTCAAAGAAAAACCCAAATCCCCTATTTTTTAGTCTCTTTGAAAAGAAAAGAAGCCATTTTAGTCATTTAAATTTCAGCAACGATAAGCCAATATTGGAACCTGTTGCATACGCTAAACTCCAAAGGCCTCGAACTGCATTATCAGCATTGATTAGCCGATCCACAATGTTTACTTCATGTCTTCATAAGATGAGGAATCTATAGAGGACCTCTTGCCCTTACTTCATAGGAGGATGTCAGGTTGTTTTAATACACCTATTTGAGGTATCATCAGTAATGCCAGAGGTATGGGTTGAGCTCATGAGGTCCTAAATGTGGCCATCTATCTAGGAATGCCTTCTATTGTGGCAATCTCGGAGTACATGGAAAGAGACACATCCATTGGTTGCCTGGTGAATCCCTTGAGCGTATAGCCATCAAAGTTGAGTGTAAGCCCTACTAGACATCTGACCCACAATTCCCTTGGTCCACACTCGGAGCAACCATATTGTCAGTTTAGGCCAGATCCCCACTTCTATATTGCATAGCCTTGTGGAAATCCTACTTTCCTTATACCAAAGATAAAATGAAAGTCCTCATGGCAAAAACTTGCTATGACATTCCCTCCCCCTTCCACCTCTTTGCAAATGATTTAGGGCGTGCCCTAACTTAGTTGAGGCCCTTTTGATGTTATTGTTCTCCATCTCCCTTCCAACTCTTGGCAACTTGCTATGGCATCTCACTATTATCACCATCTTCTGAAATGTATGGACGGGAAGCAAAAGTAGAATCTTTGAGAGCAAAGATAATGTGGCCCACTACCTTTATAGAGAAGGTGAAGATCAAATCAGCAAGCATCAACTGGGCCCCCGCTAGAGTTATGGGGCTGCTCGGCCTAAGACCTAGACTTGCACTTGGTTGGAGATCACACGATGCTGAAGTACCTAATGTCGTGTCATCCATTCAACAGATCACCACCCTATAAGAATGTATAAAGTTCAATTTTGGCTCTCTCTCTCTCTCTCTCTCTCTCTCTCTCTCTCTCTCTCTGGCCTCTCTCTCTCTCTCTCTGGCCTCTGCTGATATCTGTGATACAACCCAATTCTAAGCACTCGTGCTTCTAACCAGATTTTGTCTACAAAGCCAGGGTATGCTATTGGCTGAGGGAGACCCTGCCAATGTGACAGCTGCCTCCTGTAAACGCCCCTGCCCCGTGGTGTCTCAATCCGAGCAGCTCTCAATGTTCCATTTTCTTACATTTGGCAGGAGTAAAACCAACTTGCTGACTGCCTTCTGTAAGGAGTGGCCACAACTTCTACATCAGTAATTCAAACTGTCACGTGAGATTGTACCCTTATTTCCTCTTTTTGTACATCTTTTGCCCCCAAAACCCAGCCCCTACCCCTCCACCCCCCTTGACCCACACAAACATAACCAAAAATAAAAGTGGACAATTTGAGACCTAAACTCCTATCAAGCACTGGCATGGAGCCAATGTGCACATTAAGATGGATACAGCATAAACAAAAACATATGATGTTCATTGGCTCTTGATAGAGATAGCAACCAGTTTCATCACTATGCAAGGAAAAGGCCATTTAAATACAATTAATATAATACCATTATTCTATATTCTTGCACAAATGCAAGCATGGAATGTAGAGTTCCTGTTGCTAAAGAAGCTGTGGAACATGCTTAATTTAACAAAGTGTGTGCACATGCATGGAGTATGCCAAAGAGCAAAAGTTAAAAAGAAAATGCTGCAATAGCTACACAATAAGCAGATCAATAACTCACCTCACCATTGATCTTAGGACAACGTTTCGGATGGTAATGTTAACGGACGGTCGGCCATAGGCTATTCCATACTGGTCCCAGCCGCTCTTGATGGCTATACCATCATCCCCAACACTAATGTAAGAGTTTTCGATCAACATGTTCTCACATGAGTCTGAAAGACATGCCCAATTTTTTTTGTATGTTAAACATTTATACCCACAAGGCCATTAAATAACTTAGTAAAATAGATAATAAAAACAATATTAATAATACGAACAACAACAAAAACAACAGCAATAGCAGCAGCAGCAGCAGCAGTGATTACAATGATGATGATGATAAGAAGAAAAGTTTTCGCAAGCAATAGTTTTAACATCATAAGAAGACACTAAAGAAACGAAAGGTCGAATAATACCATTGTGTTTTACACAAAAGCAATTTGGTATTTGTTGGTATAACTCTTGGCTCATCAGCCTGGCAGAAAGATATATGTATAACTTATAACAGTGATCGGACAAACTTGGGCGTAAGGATTGCTGATCCCTTTGATTATTGAGAAATCAGGGGAAATAGCTTAAAGTTTGAGGGCCATCTTTTGACATGTATTACTTTTCCTTTTGCAAATTATTTATGTTTTGATAAATGTGACATTTGCTTTTGGTACTTATAAAATACAACCCAACCTTCTGCATAAAGAAACTTCAAGTAGTACACCATGGAAACTAGAACACTGCCATTTTTTTAATGCCTAAGATACCCCTAGACAACCAGACACAGTAACCATTTCCCTGACATTTTTTGTGAATTCATCACAAATTTCTGTAAACTCAACCAAGACACATTTGATACTTGGCCGCAGCAAATTAAAACAGCTTTTAAGAAAAGTGGTTTGTACATCAGGGCCCACATCTGTTGTTGCACAGGTCCTGACATCTACACCATCCAATTGTATAGGAAGGTGCATATCATTCTCCTTCCTCCCAGTCTCGAAGTTCTAGAGAGATCTGCATCATCCAAATTAAATGGACGGGGCAAAGAGTGGGCCGGGCACCAAACTTGGTGTGTCATGGCCCACATAAAAATCAGGTCCAAAAAACATCCCTTTTTTCATTGCCAAAACGCAACTACTTTATCCACATCACATAGATTATATTCTCCTACTGTATATATCATGATCATGCACATGTAACTCTTAACCTAATGACACACACAAACACGCATGCACAGACACACATACAAACACACCCAAGAAAGAAGTATGTATACCAGGATCAATTCCATCCGTATTGGGCGCTTCAAAGAGTGGTGCTAAGATGGTAATGCCAGATACAACCACATTCTTGCAATCATAGGGGTGGAATGTCCAAAACGGCGAATTCTGTAGGGTTACGTTTGATATCTTAACGTCGCTTGACCACATAAGTTGTATAAGTGGTCCTCTTGTGTGGTTGAGGAGCTTCTTACGATACTTCCTCCACCATGCTGGGCCCTGCCCATCTATGGTGCCATTATGTCCTGTAAATTAAGAATAAAATAATCATATTCAGCATTTTCTCCAAATGATTTTCTTTCCACTATTGCACATGGTAAAATTTGCAGCAGAAGAAAAAAATCCAAGAGACGAAGTTAGTCCTCAGGCAGTCACAAACTCACAATAACCAGAAAGATGTCTTATTTACAATTCGAGTGAATCCTCTTTTAATTACTGGAAAGTTGAGGAATATTAATTGGAGGTTTTGTAAACACCATGGAGACTACCCAAACCAAATCTAGCTCCATAAATTCTGTCATATTCAGACTTAAGCCTAACCTGTAAATGAAAAAAGGGCAGTAGACTTAACTCACCAGTTATCACAACATCCTTGAGATTTTGACCATGAATCAGACTGCCATATCGAGGGCCAGGATGCTCTCTCCCATATCCATAAGAGGGCAAGGGCGGCATCAACGGCCAATACCTCTCGTCCTGTTAACATACGATTCACAGTCCATTAATAAATTAAATGAACATCAATTAAATGCAAAAATGCATAGTTTCATAAAAATCTGAAGGACAACTATAGTTTCATAAAAATCCAAGGAACAATGATCAATATGCAAACTACTAGTTCGCAAATAACGAAGGTCATCTGAATGAATGTTTTCCCAAGGTCAATGTATCTGGATTCTGCAACAATGATGCATATCATAGACACAAGTTATCCTAATTTGAGGAAACCCAGATAGAATCATCAAGGAAGAAGATTCAGATGATTTATGATAGCCCCAAGCAATAAGAAAATACCATAAAATACCAAGCTGTAGTCAAAGAAGAACATAAGTTAGCACAGTTCGATGTGGCACCACAACAGAAAAGCAGACATGCTTCCAATGCATACTACCAGAATGATACAGGAAGCACATACACAACACAGTATGGTTCAACATGGTACCCAAATAAAAAACGTCAAAGACGAAGAAGAAGACAAAAAGACAGGGAAGGGATATCCTTTGAAGTATACTTGGAAAGGCAGGGATGGCAGAAATGGTAACAAAGTATGGAGGGCAGAATTAACAGCGAACAAATGAAATGTAAATCAATGTAGCATGTCATACTATTTCTTAAATTACAGCAAGCATAATGACAGGAACTATTGTAGTCACACTCACAACTGTACCATAAACCATAGAGTTGAAGGCCTTCAGCCTATTGTATACACTCTTTGAGATTAATATAGCAGGTGGGGCTCCCGCACTAACCCCTGCAAGCCAGCCTATCTCCACCCAAAAAAAAAAATTTTGAGGCTATGTTGTATAGAGAGAGAGCGTCGACTACTTACGCAACAATTAAGAGATCAAGGAAAAAGATAAATACAATATGTTCTCTTCCCAATGTGATGACGGATGTACTTTGGTCAAATCTTGGTAGTAGAAACAGGTGAGGCAATCTGTGAGTAACCAATGGGACTGGTTTAATGATGATGTCACTTCAAATGAATTTTATAAGTACATTGTATTTATGGGCAGAGAAAATCTTTTTAGATATCAACCTTATCAGTTTTGTGTTGCTTCGGCTGCCCTTTGATGCAAATGAAGAAAGACTAGAACTCTTTAGCACATTCTTCAGGCCTTGTTGGACACTTCGGTCAACGAGAAACAACCTTCGGCCTAGGGGACCAAATAGCTCCTCCTCATATGACCCATTAATTCCATGTTTTTCTCTCCTTTGTTTTTCAGCAAGGAACCAAAAGGGAACAAAAGGCACCCCAAAGGTAAGGTTAGCCCACCAAATCTGATTTGGGTGTCATCAGGAAGAAAAACCCCGCCTTTTGTGCAAAAAAGCCATCTTAAATTTATTTTTTTTTTCAGGAAAGTACTTTATGCTTTCAGTTTTCAAATATAAATTTTGAAATTTAAGAGGCACATTTTAGAGTTTAAGCCCCATTCAGGACCTTTGGAGGTGGTCTAGGGTCATGGCAACCTGCCCTCAAGATAAGATTTGAAAGCTGAGCATAAGTTTGTCTTAAACACTATAATCATCACCAATCTATATGGATACTTAACATGCTTATTAATAACAGTTCTTTATTAGATTAAAAGTTTTAAAATTCATTCCATTTTTCATTTGAATGTTGGAACATAGATGTGAATACAAATAGCAATGATTCTTTATTGTACAATAGTATGCATATTTAGTGATCAATGGTAAATGACAAACAACCAATTTTATAAAATTGTTAGAAAAATGTGAAAGCTCAAGAGGTTGATTGCTTGTGAAAATTTCTATATTTATTCAGGTACAAATTACTATTTTACTCATGAGAAAATTATACCAAGTGTTTGAAGAAATTTTGCTTTGGTCAATACATTGAAGGCAATCTTCCACCACTGATAGAGGAAATGAACAAAGAAATGGATGCTTTAGCAAGAGAAGGGACTATGAAAACAAACGTAGTAGTTACTCACTTTGTTAATTACTGTCTGTATAAAGGCTCACTTTTTTATAGGGCTTAAACTTGCAAATAAAAAATATAGGGCTCAATGAAATATAACTAACCATTATAAACAAAATCATTCTTTTAATATATGTTAATTTTAAGATTTCTACTTTTAAGGCCTAGAGACTTCCCTCGAATCATCCCAAGCAAATTAAATTGGACTTGCAATCAAATTTGAATTTTCTTTGTCAATACTTCAAACCAATTTCAGATTGTTGCTCCACATAAAATCTCAAAGCTGATAACGCACAAACAGACAGTAGACCTCCATTTCTTCTTGATCCACTGGAATAAATAGTTCCCATCTGAATCAACTAATTCTACACTCTGAAACTGATAGGAAGATGGAATGGTGGTGTTGATGAAGCAAACTCCTAGTACTGGAAGACACGTTACTTGTACTTTGAAGCAAAATGCTTAAGCAAGACAGGGATCTAAGTTTCAATGGAATTGCATTACTTGCTCTAAGTTGCAAAATAAACTACATTATGCTAAAATACTTAAACTCACATCTTTTGTTTTCTCTTTTTCTTTTTTTTTTGACAAGGTTACATAGGAATGGAACTTGAGACGTTGGGCTATGAAAACCTAGCCTTTACCATCTTGACCGAAGCCCGTTTCCTCACGTCTTAACATCTTGAAAGATCAATAAGACAAAAGAATAATTGCTATCCTTTTTCATATCATCTAAAGTCTATGTATGATAATGATGAGCCTCGTGTAAGAAAGTGATACTTAAAGATGAAGTTTCAACAGGCCATGGTCATGAGAGAACCAGAATGAATAAAGAAGACTCCAGTACCATGTCATGTCTCAGTTGCAACTCAATTTGTATGGGTCTGAAATCTGAATTGTCAGAGATAACAATACCTAGGGCAAAATTAATAGAACAAACTCCCCTAATCCTAACTCTCATATGGAATGTGAGATGGAGTTGTCCATGGGTGTACATTCTTGGGATTTCAGAAGGATGGAAAGCTCCATTTTCACAACAATGCAATGTGAGATGGCGATGTCCATGGGTACACATTTCTAAGGTACACATTTCTAAAGAATGGAAAACCCTGTTCATTGTCTTTTTGCATTGTTTTTGTATGTTAACAGTGTCCCATATCTATCTGAGAGAGCTTAGATTATGGTGTTGGGCATCCCCTTTCTTGGAGGTTAGTTGCAAGTCATGAAGTTTAGGATCCAGTACATGACCAATCATGAAGCATCATCAGAAACATCCTTAGAGAGGCCAACAAGAAAAGGGACAAACATCCTTAGAGAGGCCAACAAGACAAGGGACCAGTTGGCAAGTTGACAAGGGTGGTAAAAGTGAAGATAACATCAGAATCCCATATCATGTTTATATCTTTTGAGATATACCGTCAACTTCTTCAGTTGTACGTGTTGATCCTTAGAGAGGCCAACAAGACAAGGGACCAGTTGGCAAGTTGACAAGGGTGGTTAAAGTGAAGATAACATCAGAATCCCATATCATGTTTATATCTTTTGAGATGTACCCTCAACTTCTTCAGTTGTACGTGTTGTATTCACATTGAGTTTTAGTTACTTGTAGGGGAAGTGTGGGGGAGGCGGAAGTCTCCTTGGATATTTAATGGAGTGGAAAATGCAAAAGAAGTTGCTGAGAATAAGAGAAGCCTTTGGGGAAAAGGCTGGATAGTCATGCTATCTTTTGATTATCTAGCACTAATTTCTAGAACATTGTTGACTAGCTAAATTTTAACCCGATAGGAGTGACCCATTAAACAGTGAAAATGGAGTATGTTCCCATAATAGTGTCTAGAAATAGATAGATACACAAGGAATCTCGAGAAACCAAAAGAGATACATGGTAAAATGGAGGAAAAACAATTGGGAACAATGGTCAAATACACGAGGTGGATTCTGACAAAAAAAGAAATAAGATCATACCAGTTTCTGTAATTTATTTCACAACTACACGCATGTTCACTTCAGCTGAAGTCAATGTTCAAAAACAACGCTTGGACTGGGGATTCGGCAGGGTTCCGAGTTTGAGTCTCCATAGAGACTTGGCCGAATCTGTAAGAGACTTGGCCAAGTCTGTATAAGCCATAATATTAAAATATACGAAGTTTTGGCCGGTTCCTGTTCGGACTTGACACCTTGAGTTTTAGAACACTGACTGAAGTGCTGAACACATCTGCGTATGCACTTAAATCCCCAACATACAGAAAGACAACAGTCTCATCCTGATGCTCCCTCTATTCTTTATTCTTCTTCTTTTTTCCAGTTTTTCATGAATGTCAACATTCCAACTTTCTGTTGCCAAAAAATCTTTAAAATTTTTATTGGTTTCCAATTTTTTATATAAAGCTTAAATTGGAGAAAGCTATACCAACAATCATGATCCAAAAAAAAAAAAGGAGCAAGTTAAGCTAGACAATAGCTTCACTCAAATCAGTCAGCCTAGATTGGTCGATTCTAGTAATGGTGACCTAGAATAACAGTTTTCTAGTAATGGTGACCCAGAATAACAGTTGCAAAATGGCGCCACAGAATAAAGAGTTGCAAAAGTAAAGAAGATTTGCATAGTAGAGAAATAATAAACTGAGAATTCAAAAACAAACTTTTTTTCTCTTTGCGTGTGTGATTGTCAAATAACAAAAGAAAATATCAAAGCAAAAGAAAACTATGACAATAATCACTACAAATTTCCACAAAGAAAAGCATTCAATCCAAACTTAGCTAGAGGACGGAAAAGGAAGGCTATTAGGCAGTGCAATTAAGGAAAATTCAGATGACTGTTCAGAAAACGAGGAATAAAATTGATAAAATACTAGGAGCGGAAATCCTATTAGTAAGAATTCCACAACAATCCAGAAACAACCGGCAACCTAAGGTTTTAAAATAGAGAGAAAATTGACAAAAAAAAAGAAAAAAGATACCTCAATCCCTAGAATCACAGCATCTTCAGCAAGAAATAGGGTCATATGACTGGTTAGGTTAAATGGAGCAGTGAGCCACCTCCCACTCTCCACATTAAGTTGACCACCACCACTGCTCCGGAGCTTCGAGATAGCTTCAATGGCTTTCTCAAAAGCCTTGGTATTTACAGTGACGCCATCACCTACACCTCCAAAATCGCTCAGATTATAGGCCACCGGTCTTAATTTTGGGAGCGGCCTTGAAGGAACTCTCCTTGAAGCTAGAATGCCCTCTACAGAGCTTTTTTGCCATATGAACAATGATAAAAACACTAGAAACCAGAGAGCCGCAAACCATGCCTTATATGAGGAGAATTGAGTAGAAATCCACTTTCTGATATCTGATACACGTACGTTTGATCCGAGAAAATCCGCCATGGAAGTTGCAGAGAAAGCTTAGGGGATTCCCTTCCCCTGAAGCTTTGAGAATAGCGTATCGTGTAAAGAAATCGGCTATTTTATCGATGATTGGAAGAATTTATGGAGAATGCACAGGAATAAGCCCCAAAAATCATATTATATGATCCAATATAGGCAATCATTACAAGCATTAGGATGATAATGTAAATGTGAGAACTTTATGGCGTGAAAATAGCCTCTCGTGCACCGAAATCCACGACTTTTATCTCGATCTCCTGCTCTCATAGAGATTACTTCGGATTTGAGGTCTGGAACTGATGATAAGTGTAATGGCTATAAAACCCGGCCATTTTTACATCAATCAGCTACCGTCGACGGGACTGCAAAGGATTTGACGTTGATTTTTGTGGTGAAAACGGACGATTTGTAGGCTAAATGGGTGCGCAATTGTGATTATGGATAAGGTTCGTGCGATGAGTGTAGAGCTTTAAGGATGCAAAATAAGGGTTTGAGGAGTTTGAGATGGAGTAGGATTCAAGAGAAGTAAGAGCGACGATTCCGCTTTCACATATATAGAGAGAGAAATACATCATATCCTCGATATCGTATAGAGAGAGAATGATGGAGAGAGAAAGAGTTGCAGAGGAGAAGCAGCCGGAGAGATAATTACCGAATCACTTGTGTCCGTCCTAAGAAACTCAAGCCTCGCTAAATCTGATTATGTAAATCTGGTTATGTACAAATATCTAGGGTAATTATATCTAATCTAAGGAAAACATTTATATAAAGTAGTAACTTAAAACGTAGAATCAAAATGCACATAAAAAATCCATCATAAATTTGTTGGAAAACCCTCCAATTGATCAACATCTAAAATCAATGAAAAAATAATAATAATAATAATAATTTCAAATCCGTAAAATAGTATAGCCTGCAAACACACTATCTAAACCATCCATTTTCATGTATTTTTAGATCTACTTGTTTTGAGACATTTTTAGAATTTAAAAATTTATAATAAGAGATAAAAATAGATTCTTAAGTCATCTTAATAATTTTTTATATCATAATTATATTTATGATAAAATTTAGAAGTGCACTTTAATTGGATTGTTTCAGTTTGCAACCGCATGCAAACCACACCCCCATTATCTAATATAGATCTCTATTTCACATTCTATTTCACATTCATAAATTCAAAAGGGAAAAGGCTAAGATTTTATCAAAAAAAGTAAAGCATCGCCTCAAAATTCATGAAAATTATATTTTTTATATCGAAAAATTTTCAAGTCAATCATCTCGACCTTGATCGTTATGATTGTGATAAAACAAAAAAAAAGGATTTCAAAACTTAAAAATAGTGTATCTTGTAACACATTATCTAGACAAATAATTTTCAAGTGTTTATGAATCCACAAGATCTATACTAGTTTTTTAAATCGACCTTGATCGTTATGGTTTTGATAAAAAACAGATTTGAAGCTCTAAAAATAGAGTATCTTGTAATTCATTATCTAGACATACCATTTTCAAGTGTTTATGGGTCCACAAGATCTATACCTTTTTTGAGCTATAAATATCATAATTAGTGGTGAAATAGATTTTTAAAATTATTTTAAGAATTTTTTAATGCATCAAGTATTTTTTAGATTTTAAAACCATCTTAAGAATTTTTCATACCTCAAGTATTTTTTTAGACAAGATTTTGAGGCACGGATTTACTGATTTTATAAAACATAGGCCTTACATAAACTACATCCATTTAAAATTTGTCTAAACCTCTCTTTCTCAAACAACCATAAATATACTCTTCCTCTCCTCTCTTTCTTTCAAAAATTGTCAACAATATACTCTCTCAAAACGAAAAAGTTTATATAAGGATGCAACCTTATAATGTAGAACTACGGATGCACGTCAAAAATCCATCGGAAAAAGTAGTTTTACTATCGAAAAACCCTTTGATTGATCATCTCGACATCGAGATGTATGACCATGAAAAATAAAAAGATTTTTAAGTTTCAGATAGTACATTTTACAATATATTATCTACACCGTCCAGTTTCAAGATTTTCATATATTTATAGATCTACTTGATTTTAACCATTTTTAAAATTTAAAATTTTATAATTATATATAAAAATAGATATTGAGACAATTCAAAGAACATTTTACATCAAAATTATATACCATGATAAAATTTGAAGGTCACCTTACCTCTACCACTACGGATGTATCCGTATGCCAACTGCACCCCTCTCAAAAATGTCTTACAGTCTTTCCTCACTCTATCTTCCAAATTTTTTTATAATTACTCTCAATCTCTCTCAAAAATTCCATAATTTACTTTCCCTCTCCTGTCTATCTTTCAAAAATTATTAAATACTCTCTCTCTCCTCTATCTTTCAAAAAATTTCGTGTATACTCTCTCTTAAAATTTGCAATAAATATACTCTCGCTCTCCTTTCTTTAAAAATTTGTAAAAGACTCTCAATCTCAAATCTAAGAAGTATAAAAATTGTCAAAAATACTCTCTCTCTGCCCGTGTGTGTGAAAAATCCATTTGACCTGCTTTTGAGTATATCAAACTCAAATCCTGAAATTAAGGTGAGTAGTCGATATTGAACAACGTAGACAAGGTATTGGCCTTTTCATCTCACCCACTTTTGGTGCGTTTGGGCCCCTTCTTGTTTTGGTTCAAATATAAATCAAGTAACAGCTAACATATATGCACTTTTTAGGCTAGTTGACATATTTTATTTAAGCAAAATTAAAGATGAATTGCAGCCAATCTTCAAAACCACTACTCGGGGCGAGTACTCGGCCCATGCCCGATCCGACTACTTGGCCCAAGTCCTTGTAACTCCACCTAAGTATAACTCGGCCTGAGTAGGATTGAGAACTGTAGCAACAAAAAAAGAAAAAGACATTAACAAGTTATATAAAATACAAAAATATCTCTTAAAAAAGAAATATATATTTAAAATAAGATTAAACAAAGCACATCAAAATGAAGTTAAAAAATAAATTTTAAAAAACAACTTTTCAGTGGGGTAATTTTTTAAATAATCTAAAATACATGCAAAAATGTAAAAACAATAATTTATGGCCAAAACACTTTCCAATATTTTTCAAAATTATGAAAAACATAAAATAATAATATCACAAATAAATTCTTTATTTTAAAAAAAAATTTATTTTTTATTTATTTTTATTATGTCCAAGTAAGACAAACACCTCAAAAAATACTTGGACTCACCGAGGAGGTGAGCCCGAGTTATAGGGACTCAGATACAGTAGTCATTGCACCTACTTTTAGGACTCTTTGATATCATTGCTTCAACTTTGCAAGTAATGACTCGTGAGCTTTCTTTCTCTCTCTTTTTTTTTTTTTTTTTTAAACAGTAAGAGGTATTCATTAAATAATGGAGCAAAGCCCTTACAAAAGTACAAAACGAAGAAGCACCCCCTAGGACTCGAGCTAGTTTGATGTTGATTACCAATCCATAGGTTATTCAATCTATGTTCTCTCTCCTATTAATGACCTCCCTAATTTCATGCTGTTATGCCTTTTTTTTGCTGTGCCTTGCAATCTAGACATTCAAATGCAATCTCTCTCTCTCAGCAAGGATAATCTCTTTCTCGCATCAGGGATAATTTCTTTAATTGGTGACATCTGAGCAATCAGAACGCTTTTCCAAGTGTAGATTTATAGAATGATGAGCCAAACAAGCACTTCTCATCCACTCAGCTTTCCCCATAGGTTGAAGGGGCAACTTTCTTGATTGATGACATTTTAACTTCTCTTTTCAAGTTTCTCTCTCTCAATCAATATATCGAGGGATCACATTCGATAATGGTCATCTTACATTAGATGCACCAATAAAATATGAGAAATGATCTTATAGAACCCTCCCCAATTCACGTGTATATGACCTAAAATGATCACTATTAAAATTGGCATGGATCTCTAGAAAAGTCAGGTATCACACCCATATGATAACTTTTATAGAGATCTGTGACAATTTTAATGCTGATCTTTTAGGATCCTACACACATGAATGGGAGAGGGTCCTATATGATCATTACTCATAAAATATTTATAAAGAAACTGTTTATCATTTGTACAAGGGGTCACAATCATTCTTAACCCTTTGATTTTAAAATGGGTGGTTATAAGAGTGTCATTAATTAGTCACAAAGTTCAAAAAAAATTCTCTGATTTTATGACTCATCCCAAGCTATCCAATTTGACATCTAATGAGTGAGAATAGTTGTGACCTCCTATATACGCATATATAGAGAGCAATCTTTATTTGTTGTCACTTTTTTGACACTAGATCCATCAATGAAGCATCTCTCTCTCACTCTCACAATATATATTTTTTGGAAAAAAAGACATATATTGCTCATATGTAAAATTATTATCTCAAATAACCCCCTGGGTACAACAAAAAGCCCATGGAACCCTAAGTTAAGAAAAAGGACGTGTAACTCCTTATTATCTTTTTTAACGTCCAAACAACAGAATTGACCTCTCTTTTTTTTTCCTAATAAGTTAATAAAAATCTAATATGTAATGCCTCTTTTAACTTACTTGTCAGATACGAAATGCGAAAGAGAGAGATATGTATTTGGGGAAGGTTGCTACATAGAAATATGTATTTGGGAAAGGTTAATAGAGAAAGAGGGAGGAAGAGGTCCAGGGGTGAAAAAAAAAAGAAAAAGAGAAGGGGAATGGGGGCTTCTTCAGGATTTGGGTAACATGATGATTAAAAAGAAAAAAAAAGAAAAAGAAAGAAAAAAAAAAAATAATAATTTTTATAATTTGGATAATAAAAAAGATAAGGAGTGAGTTAAACATCATATTTTATTTAACTAAAGGTTCCAGAAGACTAGGGGTTATTTGAAGTTATAATTTTAGAGAGGGGATTTTATGTCTTTTTTTACTTTTATTATTTTATTTTTTTACTGTTAGCATAAATTCATTAATAGTCAAACATGTAGGATGAGATGTGTATAATGATGGAGAAAAAAATAAAAAGAAAAGAAGAGGAAGAAGAAGAAGATTGAGGGGGGAAACAAATACAGATAAACAATCGAGAAAGAGAAGAAAAGAGGAATGGAAGAAGATAAGAAAGAGGCATTTTGGTGCTCTCTCGCACAATATATGCAGGGATCCTTAATTGTTAATGATATTTTAGGCATTAGTTCCCTCTCATTCCATCGGTTACAAAATAGAAAGGGGTAAACTTGGGAATTGACCCTTTATTCTCAAGTTGTATAGTTGTATAGTGTGCTACCACAGGACAATACTGTACATCATTTTTTTATAAAAAAGGAATTTTTATCAAACACCCATAAGAGGTGAAATATTTAACATTGTCCTCATTTGTAAATTGTAATTATTCCAACTCAAAACCATGTCTTTTTCATGAGTATTTTGAAATTAAATTAAAAAGCATTGGTAAACTGTCTAGAAAGAAACACTAAGTTTGAGTTTCTAGTGCGTAGATCCCACTATCCAAAATTCAGAACGGTCACCATTCGGGTTTATGACCTTGGTTTTCCATGCGCATAAAAAATGCATATATAATTTATTCTTTAATTAAGAAAATTATAAATATCTGTAGACCCAACTATCTAGGTTTGTCTACCCCAATATTTTTAAAACCACATTATGAACCCCAATAATATTTATTTTGCACCCAGTCCTAATTAAAAAATATGTTTTTTAGGATAAGAGTATCTATCCATATTTTATTTTCTTAAATAAAGTGGGTTCGACACACCATGTGCCATACCGGTTTCAGGTTCCTATTTGAAGCTAGTCCGGCACATAATGTATTGTACCGGTCACTATTGAAGCTGGTCGAGCACACAATTTGTGCATGATTGACTTTGTTTTATTTTATTTTTTTTTTGAGAGAAGGCTAAAAACATCAGTTAAAAAGTTTAATATAGGGGTGATTGTAAAAAGTAAACAGTATGGCGGTCAATGATGTGATTTAAAAAGTATGGGAGTGGGCGTACTTAGATAGTTGGGTCCATGGGGTGTTCTCTCTTTTTAATTTTTTTTAAGCTGAATGATAGGTTGAAGAGGCTAAATAATGTGCTCCTTAATGTGCACGTAATCTTTTGGTTTGGTTTTTTATAAAAATAGAGGGAAATGAGGCTTGGAGCCCAATGGTTATGTGACAATTGTCGAAATTCTATTGGCTATAAAAGAGCGGACTACGCATCGTTTAGATAAGCCATTGTCCAATAAAAAGTAACTCCGCCAAATTTGGCGAAGCTCCTCTGCTCATGGCTTCTGTCTTATTGGCCACCAAAATTCCAATTCCACACACAAGGTTGGTGCACCTAACTCTTCTTTAATTTTTTTTTTTTTTTTCTTTTTTTTTTTAAAGTTATTGTGTTCAAATGTTCTTAAAAATTATTGCTGCCATTAGACCATTTGTAGCTATATGCATTAGGATCCTGATTTATATATCTTTCAGTCGGATAAATAAGAGAATAGAACCATTTCTTCTAACTCTTTTTCAAATTTGATATATTAATTTTCACTGCTTAATTGGTTTGTAATGGAATAGCACTGTCTTTCATAAGAAAAATTGAAATATAAGAGGTGGCAATGGAGCAAGGGGCATAGTTGTTTCAGCATAATTTGAACAATGAATATCATAGTTAAATTTAGGGCTAAATTTTGGCCAAATTGGTAATAGACATGATCACAAGATCAAGTGTGGCAGCTGAATTCGACCCAGGTAGGCCTCATTCATGTGAAGCCACCTCCCTCCCCCTCTCTCTTATGGAGTAGTTTAGCAGCAGGAGTCAAACTTGAGATGTAGTGTTGCAATCATGAACATTACCCATTTGTTGAATTCTCGCCCTTTCATAGAGTGCATACATTACTAGAACATGATGCTAGTATTCTAATTGATGCGGTCTCATATGCCTGCGGCGTTGGGATAATTTTAAATTGCACGTCAAAACCCTACTGAAAAATGCAGTTCTGACATTAAAACCTCTTGGTGGCTTACAACTATGTTTCCACCCTTCACTATGGAACTTTTTTTTTCTTTTTGTATGTTAATATGGACTGTAAGAATGGAACTATGTATTTCATGTTGTCACTTGATTCTTTTTTATTGGAGTCGGTTCCATTCTTTATTATAAAATTTGAAGCTCCAAAAGTGGTGCAGCTCTTTTTTATTAGAGTCGGTTCCATTCTTTATTACATGATAAACTATTTATTAATGCTTGAAGCATGTTATTCTTAAGGTCCATGTGATATGATAGATTTGGAGTGCTTGAAGCCGTATTTTTTTTAAGATCCATGATTGGTGCGGTCGATAAAATGTATTTGCAAGTTTGACTTCAGAATGATAGTTTTCAACAAGAATACAAAGCAGTGGCCCTGCAAAAGTAATTTCCTTATGCTAATTAATAACTAGGTTTTTATATGGGTAGGCATGCATGCCTGCATCCCATCTACACCGTCCAACTAAACTTAGTTGGATGTGCAAGGATGTGGTGCAATCTGCAGTGTTCAACTAAGTGGTGCAAACTGCAGTGTCCAACTAAGTTATACAGCATAATCACCTGGGTAGGACAGGGCAAATCTAAATTAGACACCTTTTTTAGTCAAAGCCTGGATCCGATTTTTGAAATAATAAACGTGGCTAAAGTTCCTTTTGTTACACATATGCTACTTGAAAAACTAACTATTCTAATTAGTTTGGTTTGTATTTTTTCTTACATAGGGGGTTTGGGGACACAGCTCTCCCATATGAATCACCTTTATGTCTTAGATGTAAAAATTGGCGTGTTTTGGCAACTAAAGGCGTTTCCAGCATTTGTGAACCCCTCCCACCAGATAGGCCTCTTTGGTTCCCCGGAAGTTCACCTCCTCCTTGGCTCGATGGCAGGTATTTTTGCATAATTGATTCTCCATAGTTTAAAAAAGGCTTTGATGATGATGATGAGTTTTTTATAGTTTAATATATTAGGTGTCAAAGAGTTTGAAACAAATTTCTGATGAAAAACTTAGTGTTCAAAAAAATGGATCGGTTGGACAAATCAGCTCGCTTGAAAACCAATATGGATCAACGGTCTAGATCATTGGATCGGGGTCTATATCAGCGATCTAGTCTGACAAGAAGTGTTATATCATTATACAATGATACTTATTGTCTCCCTATATATATAATTAATATATATGCATGGAGACAATATATAATTAATATATATGCATGGAGACAATGAAGTTCTCCATATTCTATAGCCCATGTTTTATTATGTGACTCACATGACATCTGGTTTAACTACCCCCATTAAATTAAATTTTTGCATTAGGAATCACTCTTGATGGCAACGATGAGGTCAACTCCAACTCTTCTTGCCAACTCAACTATCCCACCTCCCCCTTATAAACACCCAACACACATTGCACTCTCTCCATCCATAAACAAAAATATTTACAAATATTCATATTAGTTTTAAAATATTTATTTAATACAAAATGAGAAGAATTGAATATTTCCTCTTTCTTTGAGGTCCACTATGGTGCTCAAATAAGCGCATGAGTTTTGCCCTTTTTTTTTCCTAAGAAAAATAATAGGGATTGCACATAATGGGACTACCTTTTGTATACAAAGGTCAAAGATACCCCAAGTCATCTGATATAAAATTAAACAACTAGGATGTTATTTCCCCACAAAGAGTTTTAAAAAACGTTTTCTAAATCTTCAAGCACAATAACTTGTACAACCCAGCCACTCATTTTAAATCTAACGGTTAAGGATAATTGTTCTCTTTGTACCAACAATCGTATTATATATGCGATTGTCTATAAAGAGATCATTTATCTTTAGTACAAGGAGGTCACAACTATTCTCATTCATTAGATGTCAAATTAGACGGCTTCGAGTACATCATGAAGTCTGAAAATCTTTTTTTGGGACTTTACTTCTATTTAATGACACTCTTATAACTGCCTATTTTGAAATTTAAGGTACAAGAGTGATTATAACCTCTTTGTACAAAAAGTAAATAGTATATTTGTATACTTTTTCATTATATATTTTCCCAAATATTACAACATCCACTAAATAGCTTGGCTTTTTCTCTATTCATTACAGCCTCCCAGGAGATTTCGGCTTTGATCCCCTCGGTTTAGGTAAGTATTATTGTATACTATTTTTATTTGATACTTTTTTCCGGATTTAATGGTTAATATACCTATTGAAAGCTTGAAATACGATAAAATGTGAACCTTTTCTATTTGAAATAACCACCGCAATAAGAGATACAACTCCCAACCATTCTTAAAATGCGCTAAGCAATACTTGTATAAGATGGTATACTATATGATCAATTTACTTCTGGTATAAAAAAGTCACAATCACTCGTCACTGAAATTGGATGGCTAGAGGGTTCTATTGTCTGGATTCAAAATTTGCGAAAATTTTTCTAAAACTTTCGATTAGGAAATGGCACATTTCTAGTCGCCGAATCTCGTATGGCAACAACTTAAGGTGATTGTGACATTATGTTAACAAAGGTAAACTAGTCCTATTGGTATGCTGAAAAAATTTCTTTAAACTATGTTAAGGTATCCTAAGGACTACAAAAGTTATATAGTCACGAGGGCCATCATTGTCAAATGCCAAGGTACACAAAACCTTTACTATAAATCAGCTCGTTACGATACAATGCCATCGGGTTTTTTATCATCACCTGGACATACGGTTGAATGCATCAAGTTTTCAAAATATATCTGCCTTTAAAATAGTATAATGGGAAAGGTTTCTATGCTTCCCCTATTTGAGATATATATTTCCCCTTCATTCAGCCGTTCAATTTAAATCAAGTTAGCCATTAATCATTTAATCTAGATCCAACACTTCAAAGTATTTTATTTTTAATTTTTTTTCTACAAACTATATGAATATGAAATTTGATACGTGACATCATTTCAATGGGACGCACCTAAATAAAATATTAAAAAAATATTTGTGATAAAATACAATGACCAAAATACCTCTGAAATTTTCAGGTGTACTTTTGTCATTTTATTTTATTGGGAATATTTTTTAAAATATTTTTTATAGGTGCGAGATCAAGAGAGGATTAGACTCCCAAATTTTCATGTCAAAAATTTTTGTATAAAAAAAATTAAAAATAAATAATATAGAGGGTGACATTGTGATTATGGTTATCTAAGCCGTTCATTTAGAATAGACGGTTGGATACGAAAAGTATAGAAGTTCTATAGTATAGGGAAAGCATAGAAAGCTGCCCATGTGTAAAAGCCTATATATCGTATTTCAAAATTTCTAAGAAGAAATCATTCTATAGTCCATTACAAGTCAATTGAATCCATTATTCTTGAATCCAAGGTTCATAATCTTGTCTCGGCCAAGGTACTTGGCCCTTGCTGGGTCTGAGTGGACTCGGCTAAGTCGCATACAACCGAAAAAAGGTTAAAAAATGGTTTAAAAAATTTCTAATAGTTAAAAATACAGATAAAATAAATGAGGCAATAGAAAGCAGTAGAAAATTAAAAAGATGAAAAAGATCAATAAAATATAGATTTTGTTGAAATTTTGATTTGGGTTTTTAATATTTGAAAAGAAATTAAATAAAAAATATGAAAGTTCTCGAATCATCTTAAAAACTACAAAAAACCATATAAAACGTATTTCTAACAAAATATAGTGGTGTTTCCCTAGTTTCTACTTTTTTTCTATTGTTTTATAGGTTTTACTACATTTATTAGTGTGGGACAAGTTGCAATAGATTTTAATCTTTTTTCTAGTAGGTTTAAAATTAAAAATGAAGGGTAGGACGTCTTGAGGTACCTCAACCCCATTCCCGAAAAGTACCATACCCCTCGACAATGTTTTTATTTTTGCTTCTAACATACCTTGACATTGCAACAATGACAATTGAAGAGTAATGTTACTGACTCCCCAACAATTAAAAATATCCTACACCTTACCAATATCTTTTATGGAAAAATATCCATTTACCTTTCGTACAAGATGATCATAATTAATAGTGATAAGTAGATGTGGAATTAGATGGTAGCATTTATTTTATTCACTGAGTTCAAATTTCAATTTTTTTTTTTTCAAACTTTGTGATACACCCAAGCTATAAGATTTAACATCGGATGATTATAAATAATTGTGGCATTCTTATACCAAACATAAATGATCTCATTTTATACAATCTCCATCTTTTATTTTTACCCTAAAACACAGTCGATTTTGGGGTGTCAAACAACTCATGTGCCCACTCTGATTTTCAAGGTTATTAGGACTCAAGAGCACGTTTCAAATGGTTGCAAATATATTTACGTCTTAAATCCATAAATTTGGAGCTCTATACTTAGTGTAGATCTTATGCTCTTTCAAGAACCGAAATGCAGATCAAAGAAAAAATAGTACAAGATGAACCATTCAAAGCTCAAAAGTTTCCAAATTCACGAGATTTGTGGTCAACAACGTGACAGGATTTGCCCGAGTTCACTCCGACTCCGGTGTGTAACTCTGCGAGGCCAAGTCGCCTCGAGTTGAGTATTTATAAAAAATCTAAAAAAAAATGTAAAAAATTTAGAAATTATTGTATAATTTTTTAATATGATTTGGATTTTTATAGGAGAGATTAAAGCATTTTTCTATAATCCTTATTTCTCTCTCTCTCTCTTTAAAAGAAAAAGTTTATATAAGTGCGAGGCTCTCCAAGCAATTAAATTATGGTGCACCTCAAAATTTGCGGTTTTGATGCCAAAATATCCTCAAATTGATCATCTCAACCTCAAGATGTATGGACATGAGAAAAAAATGGATTTTAAGTTTTAGAAATAGTGCATCTGGTAATGCATTTTTGGATCGTCAATTTTCAAGATTTTCAAGTTTTTATAGATTTGCTCGATCTATACTAGTTTTTAAGCTTGAAATGTTAGAATTAGAGAAAAATATATATATTAAGGCTATCAGAAATATTTCTAGTATTGAAACCACATTTCTCAACACTGTTTGAAGGTGTGTTTTACTTTGATTGTTTAGAACTTCGGCTTTATACAAACCGCACCCTATTTTAAATGTCCCAAGCTGTCTGTCAATTTTTTAAGGGTGCAGTTTGCATACGAATGCATCCGTAGGTGTAGAGGTCAGGTGCACTTTCAAATCTTATCATAGTATATAATTTTGATGTAAAATGTTCTTAGGATTACCTCAAAATCTATTTTTATATCTAATTATAAAATTTTAAATTTAAAAAATGGTTAAAATCAAGTAGATCTATAAACATATGAAAATCTTGAAAATGGATGGTGTAGATAATATGTTGTAAAATGCACTATTTCTGAGACTTTAAAATTTTTTTATTTTTCATAGTCATACATCTCGATGTCGAGATGATCAATCAC